TGTACGAGTACCTATCAATTGTTCAGTTGAACTTGGCTTAAATTTTAGACGGTGCAAACGGGCATAAATAAGTTTAAAACATAAGCAAATAATGAAAATGCCTAACCTTTTCTACTAATAATTAATTTATTTTAAGAGAAAAATGAAAGTATTTTTATTCATAACAACAGAAACAACATACTTTTTTTTAAAAGAACACACAACAAATAACGAACCGGCGAGCACACTTTTTAAGTGTGGCGTGTACAGTATTTTTTGTGCTGTCGCCAATAATTTGACAATAATAAAAGTTACATCAAAAATAAATCTTTATTATTATTAATTCCAATGATTCTAAACTTTTTGTTGTTCTTCAGTGTCGTCGTCTTCAGTGATGACTTGGGTATTTGATTTTTCAATTAATAAGCTAACCGAACATCTTCATTTACTAACATTATTTTGCTTATACGGTTTTTCACTTTTTTAAACCTTGTTTAGAAAATATTGTTATATAGATATAATGCATATTTTTAAATGCTTAAGATCTATAACTCTTTCTTATTAACTAAAAAAAACATAGAATTACATATAAATTGCTCCACATATTCTGATATACCTAAGCTTTAGTAGATATTGAATTATGTATAGTCACAGAAATACGCTGTATAATAAATTATATCGATGCATATCTTAATTTTTAATATTAAAATATGCCCATGCGATAAAAGATACATCAGATAATTTTAATCAAATGCACTTGAAGGATTTACTGCATAGTGCTGAGGAAATTTTCTATTTGTAGTTAAATTGGCAGCAGCGAAGTGATAAGAAATTGTTTTTTTATGTCAAAGAATACAACTCAAATAATGCCTGATTAAATTTCATTAATGATGGATTAATTCATGAAATTGATTGTGTCATTTTGAAGCAAACATTAATTGTTATATGAGTATATGTTTATACAGACTACAACAGCTACTAAAATACATACTGATATAACACTTTGATTCATTCTGATAGGGGTAGAAAAAATACGTTGGAGCATCTTTACTAATAATTTGATGCAACAAAATTGCTTAAATGATATTTAAAAAGTCGTATGTCGTAGTGAGCAGAATTGAAATCGCTTTAAAATGAGGTGTCACTCAAGATAGGGTGCCATTTAAAGTTTGAGTGTATTTTAAGCCCCTGCCTAAGGGGTAGCTTCCAAGACATTAAAATTTACACCATCACGTGCCCCCTTTGAAAAGAAAATCGACGTGATTCAGGTTTTTATTATTTTTTTTAATTCCGATATTTTCCAGGTGGGAAGTTTTAACTGAAACACTCTGTATACATAACTGGCAGATAAGTAAATAAGCTAGTTTCCGGCTTGAGAAAGATTTTATTAAATTTATTACTTGATACATGAGCTGAAAATTTCTTCATAGTATATACAGAAAAAATAGCTATCGCCCCAAACCGCTACTGGAATAGGCCAGCAGTTTTAAATTTCCGAATTGCCGATAGAGTACACCACCAGCAGAATTTTAGGAAGAATTAAATGCAGCGGCCCGCATTCCTACGCGTATCATAGCAACATATAACTTTGGCAATGTTGCCAGGCGTACTTACGGATTTATTTTGTGCACTTTTTTATCAATATTTGTTTTTTTGCGTTACTGTATTTACTTAAATGTATGATGTAGGTATTGATAAAAATGTTTTAAAGAATCAACGAATTTCTATGTAGTTTCATATGATATTCTGCAGCGGTGTCACGATTAGGTTATTTAATTATAATTTCGTTAATTAGCTACTATTTTCATTTTTTGGTATTGAAATACTGCAGAAAATATATTTCCAGATAAATAAAATTCGTAATGATATTTTAAACAGCTTGTAATATAATTTTCTTAATATTTGATGATGATGATAAATTTATTTAATATACCAGATGGGTTATTAGTACGTCGCGGAATGTAGATACAGATTTTTTTTTTGTATTTTGACATCCTCTTATAGGTTTAATAATAATTAAAAATAGAAAAAAACTGTAAATACAAATGTACGACTTTTCCTTTATTTCTTTTAACACCAAAATTTGCTAGCATAAAATATATGTTTAAAGTAAAAAAATCATTAAAACAATTAAAATTCATCCTTGTTGAAATAACAAACAACGATTTTTATAATTAATCTTTACAACAACATAAGGAGAATACCTTAAAACGAAATAACATTAAAATACCTAAAATTTTTACAAATTTTCAATATGCAGGTAATTGTGATGCTACAGTTGAAAATATGATTTAATTTACTATTTATTGCTTTAAAAACATATTCAGAATTATCAAACATTTCGTCCTGTATTTTTTCTTTCAATACTTATAAATTTTGAGGTACTTAATAATATATTTTGTTGAAGGACTGAGATGGGGGCTTCTAATAATATTTTTTACAGTGTTCGTTGACGGGATTCGTCCTCCAAAATAAATTTGCCGTTATTCCTTAAGAACTTTTGCACATTATTATTATTTGAATAATATAGTTTAACTATGTTTTATTTTTCGTCATTAGAATAACCCATTTTAATTAAAAAAAAATAAAATGGATTATTCTGATAAATAAACGGGTTTTGTTCGTAACTCGGAAATGGCTGGAAATATTAACAAATCTCCTCTTGGTTCTGAGTAGAGCACTCGGTGGGTGAGGTAGAGCGGGGTGTCACAATATATGAAAGAATAAAACAGTATTTGCTTGTACCTTGGAAATTACTAGAAATCTCAAAAAATCTCCCTTGGTACTGATTGGCGATCGATCGAGTGAAAAACGTCCGCATGTCGAAAAAAAAAAATCGGACCAACGGTGTGTGACATCATTTAATAAAAAAGTGTTTATAATTCGGAAATAAAATAAAAAAAAATAAAAATAAAAATAAAAAAAATAAAATAAAAAAAAATAAAGAAAAATAAAAAAAAGTTGAATCGAAAAAATAATTAAAAAAAATCTCCCCCACTTCCCCGGTTCTGATTGTCTGTTCTGCGTTGAATGCAAAAGGTCGTGGGTCTATAATTTTGGCTGGGATTATAAAGTTCCTCGAACTCGAAGTCCGTCTGTCGAAAAACAAAAAAGTTAGTTAATAATTGCAACAGCTGGAGCGAACGCATTATCTTAACTCTCATTGATTGATGATTTTGAAACAAAAGCCGGGACGCCTGGTAATTTGTTTATTAATTCCCGGAACGGATGGGCCAACTCAAAAAGAATAATATTTCAGTCAACACTAATTTGTCGAAAAGTTAAGGGTTTCAAGTAGGTTTAGCGTCGCCACAAGGCCGTCCTTCCGAAAAGGCTTCATTAAATTTAGCAGTATTTTTTAACAAGTTCACTTGGACCGTCGGGGCCATGTGTTGAGCATCTGGTATAAAGAGAAAAATCGATATTTCTAATAAAGCGCGAAATGCTTTTGAAAGAACACGTAGGAATTCCAAGATATTGAAATAAGTTGTTAAACTGATAATAATTGGAAAAGAAAGATATATCAAATAGCTGTTTTTTAGGCGGATCTCCAGGCTTATTAAATGAGATTGACTAATCCGTCCCGTATTGCTACACGGAGTAACTAGAGGAAGGCTAGGGTTATTTGTAAGTTCAGTTAGTCACAGAATTATTTATATAAATGTAAGTCCAGTAAATTAGGTAATTATTAATATAGTATAGTTATACCAAAGCGTTCCAATATTCAGGGAGCTCACCAATAAGATAAGAACAGAAACGTCCGGACCCAAAAAATGGGCGTGTCGAAGCGAGATGTCGAATTCAAGAGAGATCTCCGAAAAAACAAACAGTTTTTCCTTGGGTTCCACATTGAGCAGTCTACTTAGTTTTAGAGTCTCGGGTTAATTTAATAATGGATGAAGTCATTCCAAATTTTGCTATGGATCGCGCATACCGTGAATCTCGGTACGCTATCGAGTGTAAATAAATAAATTAATAATGTTGTTCGAGCCCGTTGTGTCGTTATTTTGTTTGTTTGTGTTTTTTTTATTATTATTGAAACCCTCCCTGGAAGTTTTGGTGTTTCTTTCTTGTTCTTCCAACTTAAGTGTCACCCTATACAACCAACCATTGGATTATCTTGTACATGAGCGACATATGGTAAGTGTCTGGTATTCATTCTCTGAACGTACAACATTTCTAAGTTCCCACGCATTAATTAAAGTGTAATGATAATAATTATAAACTCCCTTTCGAGAAGTTAATAGTAAACTCTTTTGTCAGTTAACACCGTTGTGAAGCTGGTCATAGCGGTAGATAGATAAGTAAATAAATAACCCCTCGTGTTACAATTTGTTGTTTTTTTTTTTAAATCAATTTCGTATCAACCACACCTTGATGTTGCAACAATTTTATTAAATAAAAAAATAAGGTTTTATCCTTAAGAAAATTTTACATTTTTTAATTTTTTTGAAATAAATAATTAATTAGGTAAATTCATAGTTTTAATTCTAAATTGATTTATTTTATTTAGCATTTAACTTAAATATGATTTCTAAATAAAAGATAAGTTCTATATCTCTTTAATTGCATAATTAAATGCATTAAATTTATTTGGCAGTTATTATTTGGCAACAAAGCCACCGTTAGAACTGCCTCCTATTACCGAGTAGAAGAGTTACCACGCTAAATTTTATTGCTGGATGCTGGCTAACAAGACTTTACATCCTTTTTAGGTTGCCAATTTCCAGCATTTAAAGCACGGTCTGAGGCGATAAGTTATATTGTTTGTGCTGTACTGTACACAAACGTATTGCTATCCAAAATTTTTGCTGGGATTACACAGCTAATGTTGTCAGTAAAATCGACGCTTTGTTTCGTTTTGGATTAAAACGCCGTAAATGATAATCCATAATACATTGTTTCACTTTCAATAAATAATCGATTAAGTAGTTCTGCCACTGACTATCGATAAGTAGTGTTTTTTTACGTTATGTTATTATTGTATTTCTAATCCTTGAAAATTAACATTAAATTATCTGATCATATACAGGTCTAACTCCAGTCCTGGATTCCAATATATAAACGTGTCACGTAAAGACCAGATTGCAGTGCTATTGGAAACTTCATTTTACGAAGTGAGTATTTATTCTGAATTAAGAGTCTTACTAAACTCATTAGCATTATTGTTTCAGGAAAGATGAAGTTCCTTTTGGCCCTTCTCGCTTTGGCTGTAAGCCTTTCTGTGGCTGAAAAACTCAGATTCGACAATTTCAGAGTCTACAGACTGATTCCTAACGATGAGGAGACCCTCAACATCCTTAAACAATTCGAGGATACAGAAGAACTTTCTGAATACAATTTTTGGAGTCCTCCCCTCAAAGTAGGTGGAGAAGTAGATCTTATGGTACCTCCTTATCGGTTTGACGAGATAGAAAATATGGCGAAAAGCAGAGGGATGAATGCTAGTGTATTCATAGAGGACGTACAAGAACTCATCGACAATGAAGGTCTCAGATCGCAATCTAGAGCTGGAAGCTTCGGTTGGACTAGCTATCACACTCTTGCAGAGGTAAAAATCAAAATTTAAGCATCGAACATATCTTATATTTAAAATTTTGAAGAATAATTTTTATGAACAAATTACAGTCTTAGACAAACGTTCTTGAGATGTAGGGTGATAATATTAATTCCCTATAGTAGTGGAAAATATATTTTTTATATATTTATAGATAATGTCGATTGAATTATTAGTACATATGTGTCATGGTATTACTTTCCCAGTAATAACTAGGCATAGAAATTAAGGGATATTAAAAAAAATCTCAAAATTTTAGGTGATTTTGAAAGAGCTGTAACTTGGAGGGAAATGGTAGTCGAGAGATTAAAAATAAGGAAATTGAAGCTTCAAGTTTCTAGTTATCTGGAGTTTAAAAGCAGTTTTGAGTAGTTATAAGAAAATCAACAAAAAAAATATATATTTTTGCTTTTCTTTAAAAAGGACTATGGACTTAATTTTTTTTTTTTTGGTAATATCACCATAAAGCTCTTTTAGATAATTTAATTCTCTTCAATTTGAGCTATTCCGGAGCCTTGTCCGATTATTGGTCGCTGAGTTATCGTCAATCAAAGCAAAAAAATAATGTTTGACTTTGGCAAAAAGTTATTCGTGAAATAATGGTCGTACAGAAAATCCAACCAGGGTTTTGAAAGCTGCAAAGTATTCTTTACAAGTCATAATTATTGGGTTTTGATAGAAAAAAATTTTCGAATGAAAATGTTGGTTAGAAAAAACGTAAAAAATTGCATAATTAGAGATATATGAATAATTTGGCATCACTGCAAATAATGAATAAACTAATCATACTGACCTCAAAGTGTCCTAAAGAAACCCTGATAATTTCAAAACGTTGCGATTTTTTTTCTTAGTGTCCGGAATGTTTAAATTTGTCGTTTTTGCTGAAAATCAATGTAATAAGTAATTTTTCACGTTTTAATTTTTTTTTAATTAAAAATGTTTTTTTAGCAATAATCCATATGTTTTTCATCAAAAAACGTTCAGTATTCTAAAAAATATATATAAAAAAAGTTCAAAAATTCTTTTCTTCAAATGTTTTTTTTAACATATCCACAAGCTTCACAAACGTCAAAAAAATTTTGGTTGATTTAACGTTGCAGATCACAATATAATACATATTGCGTATTGTCGCTTCTGTTCCTGATCAACGATTTTAAGCGGTCTCGCATATTAATGCACCGCCTCCGCCTACGCCTCGTTGCATAGTTCCTTGCCAAGTTTGTAAAAGAGCCTGGGTCAATTGATGGTGATTTTGTAATTGCGGATAGTCTCGTCGTCATTTACGCCCGAATATATCTTAAACATGCCTAATGGGATTCAAGTCGGGACGCATAGGTGGGTGGTTGAGAGTTACCACGTTGATGGCGCGTAGAAAATTTTTCGTACGTTTTGCGGTACGAAGACAAGCATACGCGATATTAAATTTTGGTCTGCAACGTCAAATCAACCAATTTTTTTTACGTTTGTGCAGCCTGTGGTTATGTTAAAAAAATTTTAGAAAAACAATGTTTTTGAATTTTTTTTTAGAATAATGAACGTTTTTTGGTGAAGAAAATATGTATTATAGCTAAAAAAACATTTTTAACTTACAAAAATTAATAAAAAGTGAAACATTACTTATTATTTTGATTTTTACCAAATACGACAAATTTTCAACATTCTGGGCACTAAGAAAAAAAATTGAAATAGTCCAAATTGAAGAGAATTAAATTAGCTAAAAGAACTTTATGGTGAAATTATCAAAAACATTTTTTGAAGTCCATGGTTTTTTTTAAAGAAAAGCAAAAATTTGCAATTTTTTTTTTTTGATTTTCTTATGATTACTCAAAAACTGCTGAATGTAAGAAATTTTAAACTCCAGATCCGAAAACTACAGTAGGATCGTATTCGATGCAAAGTAGAGCACAAAATTGTGGGTCTTTGATTAAAGGAAAATCGTGTCATAATTTTTAGGAGGCGTAAAATGGATCACTTTTTTTACATTCAAATTTAACATGAAATTGAATGTAAAATCTGAAATACCGCTGCATACGCGTGTTCTGGTAGTAGCTTTAGTCGCCCGGGTGCATCGAGTGTATGTCGGTTATACGTCTAATACTAACCTGTCGAGCTTGGTCGTAAATCAGAGATTGTTTCCAAAAAACAAGTAAACAACAGTGGAGTGTATAGAGGTGAAATGTGCAATTCAAAAAATAAATTGGATTTATAATAAATTACATTTAAAATAAATAGTTTATGAAAGGCGCGAACTGATCCCTTCATCCCTTCATAATGCATAAAGGAATTATTCAATTTCTAAACCCCTTAAAATCGTACTGCACTGGATCCCTTCACAGGCAATGATTTATTACTTTGCATCGAATATAATCCTATTATAGACACTTGAAGCTTCAATTTTCTTTTTTTTATTCTCTCTACGATCATTTCCCTCCAAATTACTGCTCTGAAAATCACCCAAAATTTTGTAATTTTTTTAATATGCCTTAATTTTTGTGCCTAGTGGAACACAAAACAAAAAAATTGGTCTGTTCCTTATTGCTATGTTTTCGGACCTATACTGAATACAAATCTGAGGTCAGTTTGGCATCAGCATCCACGATTTTCGAGAAAATGCCCTCCAAATCCTCAAAAGATTTTTGGTTATTCGTTATTATGAATATGATTAAGGATTGTAATCTTGTGGGAGCAGCCCCATATCTAGAAACGAAAATGAATACGAAAGTGGTAATAAGCATGTTTCAGTTCCAATCACACAGTGAATAAAACTGAAAGGAAGTACAAAGCACAAATGGCAAATTTGGGGAGTTTTCAAAATCATTACCATTATCTTGGGACAGAAATCTAAAATTACTAAGCGTCCTTGTTTTCTGTATATAATCGATAGTAGCGATCAACCTAACCGAGGATTTCTGAATCCAGTATACGGACCAGCTACTTCCACGACATTACAATCCTTAATCATATCCACAAATAACCCATTTTTTTGAGGATTTGGGAGCATATCCTTTAAAATGGTGGGTGCTGGCGTCAAATTGATTTCAGATTCGTGTTCAGCGGATCCGACAACATGTCAGACTGAGGTGTGCGATCAATAGAACAGGGCACTCCTTTGTTCTGTGCGCCTATGATTACTGACAAAGTACAAACGAGATCATCACACAACTAACTTATAATTTTCAGTACAACAACTTTCTCAGATCCTTAGCCACAAGGTTCCCTAATACTGTAACACTTCTTCGAGGTGGCGTTTCCCATGAAGGACGTGAAATTCTTGGAGTTAAAGTATCCTTCAGTCCCGCCAACCAAAATAATGCCGTCTTTTTGGAATCATTAATACACGCAAGAGAATGGTAATGTCTTTTCGTAATTCTATCAGAGAGATCTAAAACTGATTTTATGATATTATTGTGAGAATTTTATATTTCCAGGATTGCTGGCGCAGTCAACACTTATATTCTAAATGAAATCGTGACAAGTACCGACCCTGCTTTCCGTAGATTTGCTGAGAGGTACGATTGGTACGTTTTCCCCGTTTTCAACCCCGATGGATTTTCATTCTCCCACACCAATGTAAGTTAACAAAAATAAATACTATGTATCTATTTTATAGTTAAGGTACGTGGCGAAACAAAAAATTTGAACACAAATGTTTTCGAAACAACGTCAATTCTTATACAGTGTGTTTTTAAATAAAGTAGCAAAAATGGTACCAGTGAATGTAGAGCCAAAAATAAGAGGATTGAAGTAAAAATACCTTATATGAAAGTTGCATACCTGAGGCGATATACTCTCTTAAAGGAGAGGATTAAAATTCACATTTTAATTTTTTTCTTTAACGTGAGGAATGCTAGAGACACGAAACTTGGTATGAGCATTCTACTAATAAAGAGACAACTTTTCAATATTTGTTCGATTATTGGCATATTTTATAAAAGAGTGAAACAGTCAACCCCATTGCAATATTTTATTAGAAATTTTTTATATGAGGCAAATTATTTAAAAATATCTATTAGGAAGACTGATTTATTGCGCAACTTTTTTACCTCTTGTAATTTTTCGATAAAAACGATAGTTTTCTAGTAAAAAAATTAGATGCGTCATCGTTCACTAAAGGTGTAATTGCGAAAATTTGTAAAAATAAAGTAGGCGGATGTCATAACAAATAAATTGTTATTTATCATATTAATAAATTGACACTTTCTGTCAACCAATAATTAGTACCAATTGATTAATTTATTATCAGAATCATTATGGCAAATAATATTTATACCAATGACGAATATGTCGATATGCTCCAAGTGTTTTTCGAATCCAGAAAAAATAGTAACGCTGCAGTAAGATTATACCACCAAAGATATCCAAACCGACCGATTCCTCATAGACAAACATTAGCCTCGGTGGAAAGAAGGCTTCGCGAAACTGGTAAAATTCAGCCTTATCATGGGGATGCCGGAAGAAGGCGTAATGTCCGAACTGTTGAAACTGAGGAAGCTATACTGGAACATCTAGAACAAGACTGTGGTACAAGCACAAGACAAGTGTCCAGGCAACTGCAAGTTTCTCACAGTCTTGTGTGGAATGTAGCTCATGAAAATCTTTTGTACCCTTTTTACCATCAACCCGTGCAAGAATTGAATGACCCTGATTTACCTAACCGCGTGGATTTTTGTCAATGGTACATTAATATTTCCAGGCATGACTTAAATTTCCAAATGAATATATTTTTCACCGATGAAGCAAATTTTCCTAGAGTAGGTGCAATAACCTTCATAATGTTCATTCATGGTCGGGAGAAAATACTCATGAAATATTTGTTTCAAGAGATGTCAACATAATTTCAGTTTAAACGTTTGGAAGGGAATTGTAGGAAATACTCTAGTAGGTTCTTTTATTCTTCCACACATGCTTGGAGCGGCCGAGTAACTTCGATTTTTGAACGAAAATCTTCCAACATTACCTGAGGATGTACCCCTCGTTATACGTCAGGTGATGTGGTATATGCACGATGGGGCGCCTGCACATAGTATACTTAGAGAACCGTTAGAGAATGGTTAAATTTAAATTACCCGAATCGCTGGATTGGTCGTGGTCGTGATGCCCCTGTTTGTTGGCCTGCACGTTCACCTGACCTAACCCCTATGGATTTCTTTTGTGGGGACACATAAAAGTATTGTTTATGCCACTCCAGTTGCCTCTACGCTTAAGAATATTTCAGGTAGCAGATGAATTTCGCAATAACCAAGAACTGTTTGTGCGAGTGCGTTATAACTTCAACAGACGTATTAGGTTATGCTTGCAGCAAAATGGAAATTATTTCGAGAATATTCTTTAAATTTAATTTTGCATTTCTTGTTTTTCGTTTGTATTAAATTTTATTTCAGATAAATAACTTTACATAATACATGTCCCATAGTCATAAGTTATCAAACATTTTTCATTAATTAAAAGCAAATTATTCTTAATGTTATTATTAAATTACTAGCTTATTGACAGAAAGTGTCAATTTATTAATATGATAAGTAACAATTCATTTGTTATGATATCCGGCTACTTTATTTTTACAAATTTTCCGCAATTACCCCTTTAGTGAACGATGACGCATCTAATTTTTTTACTATAAAACTATCGGTTTTATAGAAAAATTACAAGAGGTAAAAAAGTTGCACAATAAATCGGTCTTCCCAATAAATATATTTAAATAAATTTTCGTCATATAAAAAATTTCTTATAAAATATTGCAATGGGGTTGACTGTTACACTCCTTTATAAAATACGCCAATGATCGAACAAATATTGAAAAGTTGTCTCTTTATTAGTAGGATGCTCATACCAAGTTTCGTGCCTCTAGCATTCCTCATGTTAAAGAAAAAAATTAAAATGTGAATTTCAATCCCCTCCTTTAAGAGGGTATATCGCTTCAAGAGTGCAACTCTCATATAAGGTATTTTTATTTCAATCTTCTTATTTTTGGCTCTACATTCACTGGTATCATTTTTGCTACTTCATTTAAAAATACCCTGTATAATTTTTTTTTTCAGAACCGCATGTGGCGTAAAACTAGGGTGCCATATACATTATGCTTCGGTGCCGATCCAAACCGTAACTGGGCGTATTTCTGGAACAGTGGCGGTGCCAGTGCCTTGCCATGCGCGGAAACTTACCGTGGCCCAAGGGCTTTCTCAGAACCCAGCACCAGATCTTTGTCTGAATTCATTTCCAGCATCGGTCACAGACTTGTAGCATACATCAGCTTCCACTCGTTCTCCCAGATGCTGCTTATCCCTTACGGACACACCAGGGCGCATTTGGATAATTACGATTTGACAGTGCGTAATAGAAAGTTGCCATTTGTCAACTGCAATTTTGATTTAACCTTTGTTTCAGCGCGCAATCGGACTCAGAGCAGCTGCATCTCTGGCTAGGCGTTATGGAACGCAATATGTCGTTGGGAATATTGCCGAAACTATTTGTAAGTTTCTTCATTGAAGTATTGTTGTACATTTGCAGAATTTGAAAATTAATAATAGTAAGAGAAAAAATCATTTCTCTTGTGATAGCGGATGGTAGGTTGTAATGAGTGTTTATTAGGAACTGGTTAAATCTAATGAGATGAAGCAATAATTATGCAGGTTCTGTATGAAAAATGAAAGCTTGTTTTTACATATTTATTTACTAGATTTGTTAAAAAAAATTAGTAAAATCTTCCATTTTCAGTTTTTCTAATAGTAAAATTTAATTGTCAACAAAATGTTGTACGTTATAAAATCCCAGCTCATCATAAAGTGTTAAAATACTAGACCAGGCGGGATCTGTTTTGGTGTAGATGTTTTATATAGCTAATTAGCGCTAGTATCGCTAATTATTGCTTTAATGGCTCCAAAATGATATAACAAAACTTAATTTCACTATGAGCGCCCTTCAAAACATGTGCTAAACTTATTATTAAACAAATAGTGAAAAAATTGGAATAAAATTCCATTTTTTTTCTCTTTTTTCAACACATTTCAAAAACTATTCAATTTAGAGAAAAATTGAAGAGGAAAAAAATTCGTAATTAAATTTTACACATGATATACCTATTTTCAAATAAAAAAAGTACAACATATTTATTGCAAGTATAGCAAAAACAACAAAAAAGTGAAAGAAAGAAGAAATTACAATATTTTTTGCGATTTTTTTAAAAGTACTTATATTATAGGTAGAATCTTCATATTTGGCCAAAAAAATCTTTTTGATATAATAAAACAACACACCAATTTTCGTTAAAATCGGTCCAATAGTTTTCGAGTAATAATTTTGCAATACAGATTTTTGAAAAAAAATTAAATTTGTGCAAATTTAACTGAGCCTAAATTAAGACTTCTAGATACTTGAAAATTTTATCACATAAAAAAGGGCACTCAAACTTTAAAATGTGTCCAGAAAAATTGAAATCGCGAGCTGAAAAGTCCAAATATCGCATTTTCAAATGCGAATTATTGTTAATTATTGACCTATTAACGTATTGATAAATTACTACTTTTTAATTTGCTTTACTTTTTTCGTACTTTTCTATATTCTATTAATGAATATTACTCAAATTTATATAGTTTTTATCCGTACATTGTATTCAATTTGTTTAAACGTTCAAAATTTGTTCAAACAATAATTACATAAATACATTTTTAAAATCGAATTAGAAAAAAAAGCATTATACTACATTTTTATTGAATATAAATTAATTTCAAGTGTTTATATGCATTTTTAAAAATTAAACAATAATTTAATCAGTTAATAATTTCATTTTACTTTAAATATAAAAAGTTTTATGAAGTTAAGAAATTCTATATAAATTATTATTTAGTAGTAATTTTAGCAGTAATTTCGGAAGTTTCATCAGCATCAGCACTTGACAAAATATTGGTAATATCTAATTAGTTTTATATATGATTAATAAACATATTTAAAAATATCACATCATATTACGTACATCCTAAGTTATAATTATATATAAAATTTGTTTACCTTAACGTTCAATAACGGGCTTAACACTTAAATTATTCTTAACATGAAAATTTACGACGTGCGCACTAGTTCTTATATCGTACACTACGGTGCTGCCATCTTAGCGGTTTGAGTTCAAACTCTAGGAAGATAAAGAAGGGATCTGTAATTAACTTGTGATAGAGTTTTATAGGCCAGTGTTTTCTAATTTCGGAATTATAGTAATTGCGACAATTTACCCCTGCGACAACAAGCCCCGGTGTCCCCTACTTTTAAAAAAATCGCAAAAATATTGTAATTTTTTCTCTTTTTTTTGTTTTTGCTATATTTGCAATAATTATGTTGTATTTTTTTATTTGAAAATAGGCATATCATGTGTAAAATTTAATTACGAATATTTTTTTCCTCTTCAATTTTTCTCTAAAATGAATAGTTTTGAACTGTGTTGGAAAAAAGAGAAAATAAAATGGATATTTTTCAAATTTTTTTACTATTTGTTAATAATAAGTTTACGCATATCTTTAACACACGTTTTGAAGCGCGCGCATAGTGAAATTATGTTTTGTTATATTATTTTAGTCATTAAAGCAAAAATTAACAGATCCCGCCTGATCTATACATACATTATTTATTCTAAAGATAGTAAATAAACAAAGGTTTAAAAAAATTAAAATATTAGTTAAATTTACCTTTCTGAACATTTTTTTCTGAAACATATGCTTGTATTGTTGTATACATTAGGTACTTAAGGTTTAAATACATGATATTGTTGTAGATATTGCTAGTGGAGGAAGTATGGACTGGGTAAAAGGTACATTCGGGACTCCAATTGCATACACTTATGAGCTCCGTGACCGAGGCAGTTTTGGTTTTCTCCTTCCTGCTGCGCAGATTATTCCTTCTGCGTTAGAAACATTGGATTCTTTGGTGACCATCCTCGATGAATACGAAAGAAGTAAACAATAAATAAGCTTACCTGTAATTAAGTTTATTAATAAAGAGGTTTTGCAACATTATTTTTACGAATATAACTTTCCTAGTTTGAAAGTTAGTTGATTAATTCCATTCCACGCCCAATGAAATATTTCGAGAAATACCTACTCTGTTAGAGATACTAAGATGATAGATGGTATGTTTCCTTCTACGCGTTCTTTTTTTTGCAATAAGTACAGCATCTATTTATATATTTGGACTAAAAATTTTATTAACGAAATACGTTTATATACAGGGTGTTCCAGAATAACGTGTACAACGGAAGACCACAGGTTCGTGAACTCAAAATAGGCAGATTTAGGCTAATTCACCTATATCCCAAATCGCTTCGTTTGGCCGCTAGCTTCAAAGTTAGTGAAAATTTTTTGAATTTTGTAAATAACACGAATACCTGTTAATCCATTTTGGTAATTTTTGGGGTGTGAACTTTTGTTTTCGATCTACACATTTTGGTATTATACAGAGTGTTTTTTACAACCTACAACTCCTACAAAACTGACGTGTGTTGATAATATCCGTTCATAACTTTTTCCTCTTTCAGGCAATAATGACAACTATTTTTAATTTGATAGGTGATGCCATTTGGAAGTTTTTGAAACTTTTGTAGAATTTTGATTAAATGAGCTGTTTGTGTACAAACTGTAATTTCAGTTTGATGTTTAAGTCATTGTACCCAACATTTCTTAATGAGTGTTTACTACGATAAGATATACCACATGTTACTTCATTTTTCGGTATGCATACATACTCGTATATGACGAATTAGAGTTATTTACAACGTACCTAATTTTATTGCGACAATTAGTATAGTAAAAACAATCAAATATAATAAAAAAATGCTGGAGATAAAAGTAACAACATTCTATTATGGAAATTGAACTCTTACTCTTTTAGCGTAGATTTGATACAGTTTATTAGAACTTATCTGACTGATCCTATAAATTGTGTGAAATTTAATAGTGCAGAATCTGAAACTTTTGTGTCAACTTCCGGTGTGCCTCAAGGGTCCATATTGTGACCACTGCTTTTTATCTTATTTATAAATGACATTTCTGATTATATAAACCATGCAAAGTTTTACTCTATGCAGATGACTTGAAGATTTACCTTAATGGGATGATGTTACAACATGTTGGGATGATGTTGCAAAATTGCAAAGTGATGTCACAGCTGTTTCTGAGTTTTGTAAAGATAACGACCTAGCTTTAAATGAGGCAAAATGTAAACTGGTATTATATACACGGAAGAAATCTATATTGGGAGTATATATGGTGAATGGTGTTGAGATAGAGCCTCTAAATAGAATCAGGGACGTAGGTGTAATTTTTAGCAAAAAATTTACATTTAATGAGCATATTATAAGTTTAACAGCTGAATGTTACAGGAAGCTCGGTTTTGTTCTTAGGACTAGCTAAGAGTTTAAATCTAACACAGTTATAAGGCTATTCAATACATTTGTAAGATCAAAACTGGAGTATTGCAGTGTGATTTGGAACCCACAAGCTACCAGTAACAAGGACACAATAGAGAAAATACAGAAGAAGCTTTTGAGGTCAATATATGTTAAAGAGTATGGAGTGTACCCGTTCATTCAATTTGGATATGCCTTCACAACTTTTCTTCAGTGTTAAATGTGGAATAGTCCAAGAGAATTAAGCACAAAACCTTCGAGATATGGCTGTATATGATTGACGTAACTTGGATATTAGTAAAAATCGGTCGAAAATAATATATACAATGAAATTATAAGGTTGCGCCAAGAAAAAAAGTTGTGCTATTTGCAGAAAAAATTAAAAACTGCAAAAATACTCAAAAATGATGTTTTTTTCTAACATTTTCCAACATAACTTCTTAAATATGCAGTTTACAGAAAAAACTATTACTGGTGAAATTGTTTGTTATTAAATTTGCTACAAGATAGAATTGTTTTGATACCTGTGCATATCATATTTTTGTTGCTAAATAGTCAAAACTACGTAAGAAAGTGATGAAAATCGAGGTAATTTGGAAGCGTCAAACTGGCAGGCAAGAAATTGTCCAATTCTACTATAAATGTAGATGTAAGTACTTTAAACGATTATAAAACGAAATTGCAAAACCCGATCCAAATCGGTCTGATAGTATTGGTATGAGACAATTTGTTACTAAATTTCAGCGCGAAGTGTCGTTATTTTTTTTTACGTGAGTGCTTGGGTTAAAGTTAGGCATTTTAATTGGCGCTGATTTTTTTACACATACTTAGACCCCGTAACAATCATTTAGAATCGTTGGAATATCAATTTTCTTTATCTGAATAATTTTTGGAGCGAATTTAATAGTTAGAAAAATTTTGACTTTATAAACAAATACTTTTGTGAAGCGGTTTTGCGGGTTGGAAAATATACCAAAGTACTAAAAAACAGTTCTCGGAAAGACGCTTAACTTGAAAAAAAGAACGTTCAAATCGGTCCTATAAGTTCCGAGATATAGAGTGTCAAAGTTAACAAGCGCTTGCTGCAAAACTATGTATAATGTAACAACAATAAAAATTGAATTTGGTAGGTTTTTTCAAGAACTTTCCGTATGTGTTTTTATAAATATGATCGCATGTGTGCTTTTTTTATGAAAATTCTATGAATATTGTCAAGCCGACCATTTGTGCCGCAAAACCGAGGGGAGGGGATGAATTATAGAAATTGAAATCGCGCGTTCTAAAAAAAAGCGCGCGCGCTTCGGCGTTCAATATCTCGGCTTCTATGGCTCCGATTTTGATGATTTTTTTTTAATCGATAAAGCAAAATGAGAGGAATTCAATTATCAAGATTATTATAAAGCCCTTTTCTGTCTATTACGACTACTTAAAATTTCTCACATTTGTTATACTGTATATTCATGTAAATAGTAATATCGATGGTAGGATATAGGAACATAATCCACTGTTAAAAGGTATTAGTTTTAATAATTGGTAATAATGTTTAAATAAAATCTTGAAATTTTTATTTAATATGTAATTTATTTATTGTATGCATAGAATATAGAAAAAGATATAGATACAAATAATTATTTATTTATGTTTATAAAACGTGTTTATTATATTTTCATTATCATCGTATTATTAAAGTTTTTCACTTTTTTACAACATCATTGCTATTTTCAGTTATAATATCAGCATTTGAATAAGTACCGTTTTCCATTTTTTTCAAATCAGTGTTTAACTAATTGTAAGTAGGTACCACTGTCAGATTAACAGCAAATAATGACTTATGGTTGGCTATGGTTGGTTAATGTGATTTTTTAAATTTGCTAGCAATTTCATAGCCATCCTCGCAAGAAATTTTATTTATCATTTTATTTATCACAAAAACCATCAAAACAGAAAAATTAAAAGATAAGTATATGGAGATGTAATATACAGGGTTGGAAAGTCCCCATGGTTCATCGGCCGTTACGTGAGAGCGATAAAGAAAGTCATAAAAATCCGTGCGATAGAGAAAGATGGCTATAATGAAGGCGTCTAATAGTCACCGCCCATTTCGCCCTTCCACAAATAAGAAGTGGATCTTATTTGTTAGAGATGAATATAGGGAAGCTTTATAAAATTCCCCTAAAATTACGCGTAGAATCCAAATATGCAAAAATATATTATAATAAGCAAATAGGTGGCGACTACCGGTATAACCGGAAGTACTACAACAATGGCATTGTTTTATTTAAACTATTTTTAAATAACACCTCCAAAAACACCAGCTCCCAAATTTTCAAAATTCAAATCGAAGTAGTCTCCGAAATATTCTATTCAGCCGTCACCGTATGACAGATTGTAGAAGAAAATTTTGAGAGCGAAAACAGCAACTATGCTGTAAAAAAGCGGAATACTTTAATAATGCAATGATACGTTTTAAAAATATCAAATAAATACATTACATATTAAATAAAATTTTCAAGCTTTTAAACATTATTACGAATTATTACTACTAATAACTATTAACAATGGACTACGTATTATCTACCATCGATATTATTTACATGAATATACAGCAACAATGAAATGTGTGAAATTTTAAGTAGTCGTAATTGGCTGATAGGGCTTTATAATATTTTAATGAAATCTTGATAATTGAATTCCTCTCATTATGATATATTGATTTAAAAAAAATCATCAAAATCGGAGCCGTAGAAGCCGAGATATTGAACGCCGAAGAGGGCACGCTCGTTTTGAACGCGCAATTTCAATTTCTATCATTCGTCCCCTCCCCCCGGTTTTGCGGCTCAAATGGTCGGCTTGGCGATATTCATTGAATTTTCATAAAAAAGGCACACGTGTGATAATATTTATAAAAGCACATACGAAAAGTTCTTAAAAAACCTACCAAATTTATATTTTGTTGTTGTTACATTATGCATAGTTTTGCAGCTAACGCTTGTTGACTTTGACACTCGATATCTCGGAACTTTTAGGACCGATTTGAACGTTCTTTTTTTCAAGTTAAGCGTCTTTCCGAGAACTGTTTTTTAGTACTTTGGTATATTTTCCAACCCGCAAAACCGCTTCACGAAAGTAATTGTTTATAAAGTCAAAATTTTTCTAACTTTTAAATTCGCTCCAAAAATTATTCAAAAAAAGAAAATTGATATTCTAACGATTCTATATGATTGTTAAGGGGTCCAAGTAAGTGTAAAAAAATTAGCGCAGATTAAAATGTCTAACTTTAACCCCAGCACTCACGTAAAAAAATAACGACATTTCGCGCTGAAATTTAGTAACAAATTGTCTTTTACCAATACTATGAAACCGATTTGGATCGGGTTTTGGAATTTCGTTTTATAATCGTTTAAAGTACTTACATCTACATTTATAGTAGAATTGGACAATTTCTTGCCTGTCAGTTTGACACTTCCAAATTACCTCGATTTTCATCAATTTCTTACGTCGTTTTGGCTATTTAGCAACAAAAATATGATATGCGCAGGTATCAAAACAATTCTATCTTATAGCAAATTTCATAACAAACAATTTTACCAGTAATAGTTTTTTCTGTAAACT